TGTGTGTCCTGTCCTGTCCGACTACGCGTTATGATGGGTCGTTCGCAATTCATAAGCGTTAGCCGTTAGTGATGATGGATCGACTCGTTCGCGAATGAGCTTTTGATGGGTCGTTCGCGATTCGCGAATGAGGCGACTCTAAGAGCCGGCTCTTTTAGGTGAACGTCGGGAGCTGGCTCTCATATCTGAAGAGCCGACTCTATTTTTACAAATTTAGCCTATAGAAATTAAATAATTATGTAAAAAAAAAATATATATATTATAGTCAAAGTCATTTAAAGAGCCGTTTGTGAGCCAAAAGAGCCGGCTCTTTTCAGTGAGCTGAGTCAAAAGTGCCGAATGCCTACTACTATGCGTGCTTTCGAACACCCGCCCAACTCTACCTCTGATTGGCTTACAATGACATTTTACTCTACCTCAGCCAATCGTCAGCATTTATGCGCTTGTCTCGTGCTCTGCCCACTAACCAAGGAAGAACAGTAAAAAAAGTATTTGCCTCTCGCTCAGAGATCTAGTTGGTCTGATGAAAAAAAAAACCCAGCTTCATCAGTTATAGTAACACGCCGCATTTTTTGGCAGTAACGGGAACGGCGTTATTAAGATGAGAAGAGTAATCAATTAGATTACTCGTTACTGGAAAAAGTAATGCCGTTATAACGCCGTTATTCCCATCACTGGTTGTCTAACAGGGTTTTCTTAAAGAAGAAGAAGAAGAAGAAGAAGAAGACAACAATGTTTTTATGTCAGTGATGCAGTGACAATTAAAGTCTCATAAAAGACTGCATGAATACAGTAGCATAGAAAGTGTCCACTTTTCTCTTCCTTCATACAGTGCATCTTAACACTTTCTGAAGCACTTCATTACTGCACATTTCAGTCCACCTCAAAGCTTAAAAACAGCTAGTTATTTTTAAAGTGTAGCTCTTTACAAATTTTCAACATGCTTTGTAGTTTTTGCACTGTCTGTTTATTCCATCCATTTGTTAGTTTTGCGTCATCCTTTTGACAGCTTCGGGGCTTTTTCAAAACTATAGATTGTACTTTCCTCAGTTTTGTATCCCCGTCCATGCCACAGTCAGATTGACAGTCATTATTAACAAAACAGTTATTGTACGAGTAGGTTAATCACTGAAAATTGTCTCATTCATAATGTACCAAAGAACTAGCGGTATGTAAAGGGCCTGTTCAAACACCCACACTTGTGGTCTCTGCACTTGACCACTTCAATGGTGTTCAACAGGATGTATTTCCTGTATTTGGCCTAAATGTTTAAGTGGGTGTGAAGAATGCAAGTGTGTGTAGAAGTTTTGATTACCCGATGGGAAGAGATATTTGAAAAACGCTGTTTGAAAGTTGGTCCGACCGACAACCAGACACAACATCAAACGTGTAGCCAATCAGCATTAGAGGCGTATGATGGTAGAGGAGAGAAAACAAGCAAGAGGGAGATATGAAGAAAGACTGTAGAAAGATAAATGACTGAGAGACATTACAAAAGAGAAAAGCTCATAAGAATATCACTGGAAAATGAAGGGTTATGATCAGGAAAGGAGCTTTAGGACCCGCTCTAATTTCAGAAAAGCTTTCCAGCGATGGATAAGAGACCTGAAAACAGACGTCGAGGTTGCTTTGATTCGCTCCGTACGTGAGTAACACTGGTTTTGAGTGTCACTGTTTGTCTGGAGCTGCTGTGCTGTTGGCAACTACCAACGAACTGTATGTTAATTTGTTGTGATTCCTCGTAGTTAGTTCATCATCTTCGCTGAAGCATTATTTTGTTGCGCTTCTGCTACGATAAATAGACATCTGCTCTTGCATTGAGTATGTAACGGAGGCCGGTTAGTGAGAGTTGTGCAGGCTGACTGCTAGAGAATGCAGTGTTTACTGTTTAGACTTCTTGTGAGTGCACTCGCCTCTCATGCCATGGTTCGAGACCAACTTGGAGCAGGGCGGTTAGGATTGGAGGGTGAACATTGGAGGCGGAGCAATGAAGAGAGGGCTGTGTTTGTTTGGGTTGATTTCGAATATCAACAATTTTGAGAAATAACACACTGCACCTTTAAGAACCAGATTTACTAACAGCTTGCTCCAGCGCAAAGCCTCTTTTGCCGTTAAAAAACTATTATCAGGATTTACTAAAAAATTTTGAAAAATTAGCGCTGAAAAGCCGTGGACGTTTTTTTTTGCGGCTGACGTTATTGCATATGCATTTGTGAGAGTTTCTCTTTCAGACGCAAAATTTATGGGAGGGGAGAGTATTTAAATGATTCATGCAAGGTGATTTACTAAGGTTTGCGCTAGTCAATTTATTTGCGCCATTATTTACCATCCCAAAAAAAAAAGCATGTCTTACACCAGACGCTAATTTGCACTGCTCTCGGTAGATTGAAACAAAAGAGTCACACAATTTGGGATGTGGATGGAAATTAGCACAATAATTAGTCTAAAATAGGATTTTTTTGCTAATACAAGGCTAAATCAGAAATGTAGGTAACACTTTTTTTACAGTGACACGTTACATGTACAGTAACATAGTAATGCACTTAATCCTTAACCAAACCCTAATCCTAAACTTAACCCTATAGTGTAGTTCATTATTATTACTCAGTACTTAAATGTGTAATTACACTGTAACAATATGTACAATAACAAATTTACAAAAAATAACATTACGATGTCCAGAAATCAATTGTAATAGCCCATCAAACAAAGAACTTTCCCCCTAATGTTCTCATATGGTTCCCATTTGGTTATTTTCTTGGGAACCAAATAAGACCATTCCAGGAACATTCTCTGTATGTTATTTTTAGGTTTTATTTTTATAACAAAATTTTTAAACTAATTTAAATGTTTTTCATGTTTTACAGAAAAAAAAAAATGGATGAAAATGCACCCAAAAAAAAGGAATATGAAAGAATACGCTGAAAGTAATTGACTAGAATTAATAAATTCAAACGGTATGGTCTCTTGTCAATGCAACAGGAAACGAATATTGTTGAACGATATTATTTACTTCAAGCCTTTCTTTACTGCATGTGCTTCTCCAGAATGCACTTTCTCCTGCCTTCCACAGAAAACACTTTCTTGAATAATTACATAATTAGTAATATATATGAAAGTAAATATTGTGATTTCAGGGAGATTTGACACATCTAGCCTAATTGCAGAGAACATGATGGTACTTATACTGCTGTTGGAGTGTAGTTCTTACCTTGAACCACTCTCACTAACACCATTTTCTACCGTAACAACAGCTGCCAGTCCTGATAGCAAATTTAGCAAACTGAACAAGCTCTCCCTGAGGAATTCATATCATTCTTTTCCCTCTTTGTTCTCACCGAGGCTTGCCAGTCAGCTAACACACCCAGGGCCCTTATTCTGCTTGACTGATTTTGGCAGGTTGTAACTTTGAAAGGTGAAAGAGTACAGCCCTAGACATGGCCAGCTGCCTCGCATTGCTGTTTCCTTTCCAAAATGGATATCTCACCATCCAGAGTCAGAACATACTTTATTAAAAATATAAAAATTTCAAAATTAATAAGCATATCCCAGGAAGCTTTATAACTCAGAAGAATGGTATCTCTTTGTTTCTATGGTCAATTTGAATTACTAAATGATGTTAGGGGAATTATTTTGGTCTGAGTTCAGTATTCAGTAGCCAAAGTGACCAGGCTGGACAATGATCTGACACTGGTTACATTGGCCCTTTTACTGCTTTGATATTCATTTTTTTCTCTTGAGAAGTTTCCGATTTATCAGCATCTTTGATGAAACCTAAAGGGAGAAATAGACAAGCCCCCTACTAGAAGCTGAAAGCAAGTCTTTGTCAGATGCTCCTGGACCATTAAGTGTAATATACTGTATACGTCAAAGCAGATACTAATACCCCTCTTGCTTGCCCTCTTTTCTTTGGTATTCCCACTTTGCTATGACATGGAGGCAAGGTGATCCTGGTATGACTGGAAACTAGGACACGGATTTTCGCTCATCTATCCTTCCCTGCAAGAGGATTTCTCTTGCACCTACCACTGCAGTAAATGTTTGCAGTGCTGAAAACACATTTCCTTAGTTCAAACGCTCTTTACTGCTCATTTCAGAAGACAGGGACTATAATTCACTAAAAGTAAGAAGTTTTTAGACATAAATAAGTCATGAAATCAAAGTGTAGTGACATGGTTGTATTAATTTAGAGTAGAAATAAAGCACATTTTAGTACTCTAAAATGCCACTGAAACACTCAACACCCAACACCGATGTTACATATTCCTGAGTAAACATGATATTTTCTGTGGATTCGTTTTGTTTTGTTTTTTTTACCCTGCAATATGTGACATTGGGTTTATTTTATCCACCAGTAATTGGATTGGATGCAAAGCTGTTAGCGAAGAGTTTTTGATGGATAATTTGCTGCATGACCATGTTATTCAGGTAGCAAGCTCGTGATTTACTCTAAAACTTGGGTTTATTTATTTATTCTACTTTGGAATTTTAAAACCTTTAGTTGTTCTCATGCACCTAATTTAAATTTGAATACCATCAATTTGAATTAATTGAATTTACATAAATTTGTCCACAACAATCCTAACAGCTAAAAAACATGAATATTGTTGTTATTATCAAGGTAACCTTGTGCAGAATGCTTCAGGCATTACATTTTTAATTTCTAACCATTAATTTTACTGCCATTCAGGCAGTAAAAGTTGCAAACAGAAATGCCTTGCGCCCTTCAGAAAACTTCAAGTGCTATGTCCTTCAGCTGGAGTAAGCCAAACTGATGCTCCTTTTAGATTTTTAAAACATCATAGTAAAAATGGTCAACATTTGCCTTGTAAATACATTACATGAATAAAATATGAAATGGGTGAAAATGCAACAACAACAAAAAAAGAATGAGAAAGAATATGCTGGAAGTAATTGACTCCAGCAAGGACATGGGTCTAGAACAGGATTCTAGAGAAACAGTTGCATGTCACTAATAGTTCTACTCTCTGTGTGCGCAGGATTACTACCACCGCCGCCTGCATGATGGACTTACGCAGATACCCACTAGATGAGCAGAACTGCACACTGGAAATCGAGAGCTGTGAGTGTCCTGTGAGACTTTATCTCCACTAATTTCTCATATTCATGTGATAAAAATAAAAAATGCATATATGTGTGTGTGAAAAAAAATAAGTACATCCCATGGAAATTGTTGGTTACCATGCTACACAGTTAGGATGAGGTTCTTCTCCTGAAAAGCTGTCTTTGATCTGTGGCAAAAATGTCTGCTGTTACTGTGGCCAAACAACTATATCTTTGATTTGTCTGTCCAGAGCACATTACTTCAGGTGTGATCTTTTGTCCTATTTCAAATAATTTGGAGATATTTTTAAATCCCTTGCCAGATGCATAGGCATCCACAACCTTCTTTTTTTTTCTGAAAACCTCACAATACTCTTTAGATCGTGGCTTGATGACACCACACACCTCAATAGCAAAGGGAACACCAGACACCAGATATGAGAGGTTTAAATAGGACGGGTTCCACCTGCACTCTCTAAGCTGATTCATATATCACATTGCATAAGTATTCAGACCCTTAACTCTGTACTTAGTTGAAGGACTTTTTTAACAGCGATTACAGCCTTTTAGAATAAAGTATTTTTGGTTATAATGTGACATGCCTTGCACACCTGGATTTCTGCCATTATTTCCTGCAGATCCTCTTAAGCTCTGTCAGGTTGGATGGGGACTGTCGGTGGACAGCAATTTTTAGGTTTATCTGGAGATTTTTGATTAAATTTATGTCCAGGCTCTGGTTGGGTCACTCAAGAACATTCACAGAGTCATCCCTAATCCACTATTACATTGTCTTGACTATGTGTTTAGGGTCATTGTCCTGTTGGAAGGTAAACCGTTGGCCCAGTCTGAGGTCCTGAGTGATCTGAACAAGATTTTAGTTATGGATATCTGTGTATTTTGTTGCATTCAGCTTTCTTTCTACCATGAACAGTCCCTTAAGCCATGCTTCTGAAAAAACATGCTTTTCGTCTGGCCACTGTGTTTGTAGTCTTCCCCTGATCTGTGTCTTGACACTGAGCTCTGCAAGCAGTTCCTTTGACCTCATGGTTTAGTTGTTGCTCTGACATGAATTTTCATGAAGTGCGTATTGATGTAAAAAAAAAAAAAAGAAGCATTTAGCATGAGGTTGTAACATGCAAATGAAACGAGTGAGTGAAGGGATGCGAGTTTGTGTGTAAACTTGCCGTCAGAGAGATGAGAGAGCGAGAAAGCGCAGCTGGTATCGTGTATCTGTGGAAAATGGGTATTGGAAGCGTTTCAGATATTTCAGTATCGATATGTATCGGAAAATCTATATTTTAACCACCCTACATTGCACTTAGTTTCTTATTTCAAATGCTTTTTTAAAAGACGACAATTAAAAAATGTAAACTGTATATTATATATAAAATTCAACCCGGCAACGCGACTAGGAGTGACTGCGTTACACGCCACTGCTGAAATCCACCCACATTTAGCGGGTGTTAATGTCAAGGCCTACTGTAGTTATGACATTAGAAAACTGTGTGGGGTAAAAGTACAGCATACAATGTGTGCGCTATATTCCCAATTTCTAAAGTCAATTGATAGTGTGTGGAAAAGACCAAAATGTGTGTAGAGTTCCCTTTCGAGGGAACTCGCGCTGCGTCGAAAAGGACACTTTGGGGAACGCCTTCAAGGCGATAGTGTCTAAAGCACGTGTGCAACTAGTCCAATCTCGATTGGTGTTGTGTCATGATGTCACATGTGACGGCATACATGGAAGCTTCAAAGAGACGCTGGCACACAACAGTGTTAGCTTCTGCTCTTCAGCAAGCGTTCTATGCTGCTTTTGTCAGTCTTATTTGGTGTTGTTTGTCCTACAATGAAAGCATTCTCCCCTATTTATCAAAAAAAGAGAAAGAAAAATACTAATTGTTGATTTCCTTTGTGGTGCTCGGAGGATGAGGCCTATCGTCCAAACAAGGGATCCTGTGTGGGACCTGGTAGTGGTTCTTGAGGGGTTATCCCTGGCACATTTTGAACCCAATTGACGAGGTGGCGGACACATTTCTCGCTTTCATAGTGGCCTTCCTGCTAGCCATTACGTCCCTCGAAAGAGTGGGGGACCCGCAGGCTCTATCTGTTGCTCCCTCTTGCCTTAAGTTCCCTCCTGGGAGGGTAAAGGCCATTCTCCACCCTTGGCCAGGCTACATGCCCAAGGTGCCATCTAATGTGGCATGGTCAGTTATCCTGCAGGCCTTTTATCATCCACCACTTGTCGGCTGACCAGGTAGGCTATACCTACTATGCCCTGTCTGGGCCTTAGAGGCCTATGTGCGGAGGTCCTCAGGTTGGAGGAATTCGGACCAGCTATTCATGTGTTTTGGGTCACCTAAGAAGGGTTCCCCTGCCTCTAAGCAGACGGATGGTGGATTGTGGAGGGTATTTCTTCAGCGTATGAGGCGCGCAGTCTACCCTCGCCTCTCCTGAAAAGAGCGGAGATTGGACTAGTTCCAACCATGCTTTAGATGCTGTCACGCTGGAGACGTTCCCCAAAGTTCTTCGACGCAGCGTCTAGTTCCCTTCTCAGGGAACAAGGGTTACAGTCGTAACCCAGGACTTTTTTTTTTTTTACGGATAATTATCCTCTTCCCCATAGCCATGGAATCTTGCACATTAAAAATCGCCATGACTTGTTGAGATAGGTTTGACATCAATGGTATCAAACCTCATGCATGTCTTATGACTGACTGACTGACACTCCAAGTTTGATGTTTGCTAAAGTATTGACATATCTTCTGCACAGAGGTGGAGTATAAAACGTCACAACAGCAATGTTTCTCTTATGAGATGCGTTAGGATGAGTTCTGATCAGTAATATTAAAGAATCATTCCTTGATTGACAATTGACTTCCATCAGAAAAAAAGTAAGAATATAAAGATAAACATAAATAGTTTCAAGTATTAGCTATTTCAAACGAATTGACTCAAGCAAATAACACTGTTTAAACGAATGTCATAGCATTACAATCTTGATCATTTTGTTTGACAGTCATGACCAATTCATATCGAATTCTAAGGGTTCTTTTTTTCTAGTAGAAACACATTTGTGGTGTGAGCACAGTGTGTGTGCAGAAAGCTAGCCATACTCCACCGCTACCTTAATTGGGATGACCTTCATCTCCATAAAGCCAAGAGATAAAGAGAGCCAGTCAGCATTCATGCTACACAGCGCCATGAGCAGAAAAGGCCTAATCAAATCTAATTGTGACTCTATATATGCGGTGTACACTGGGAAATCAGTGGAAATCCAGCAGTAATCCTCCAGCGTCTACTGTTACGCATGGCCCATTGGCTGCTGTCATTAAAGCAGAAAGATAGAAAGCTGAGAGCTAGAGGAGATCAGAAGAGGGCATGTGTACACACTTGCTAATTGTGCTCTTGTGAACTCCAACACATCGGCTGCATTGTAGAGAAGAGCTAATGGTTAGTGCTAATATAAATTGAAAAACGCATGAAGCCTTCCTTGTTTTATTATGGTTTCCATAAGAGCTTGAAGAACTGCAATGTGATGTCCAACTCCATGGTTTCTCGACTGGGAAATGCTTCTTTCTTTCTTTCTTTCTTTCTTTCTTTCTTTCTTTCTTTCTTTCTTTCTTTCTTTCTTTCTTTCTTTCTTTCTTTCTTTCTTGTGTGAAATGGTATTCTGTATTGACATGTATTGACATCCTGTCAGTGAGCATAATGTGTCTATAACCTCAAATCCTGGGAGAATCCTATGATCTTTTGCCTAATTGGTTTTACCTTTTTCTTACACAAGCTCTGTCCAAGTTTTTCACAAGTTTTACTTTCTTTCAAGTAAACTCCACAGAGGTTTCTGGGAACACAGTGTGTGCTGAGAGCATCAGCTATACTCTAACATTACCTACAGCAATGCCAAGGTCATGGGTTCATTTCCCTGGGAGCACATATTGATGAATGTATACTGAATCCACAGCAAGACATTTAGCAAAAATAGTAAGTGGGGTCAGGTAGCCAGGTCATCCTCTGATGGGACTCCCAGCAGTCTATTCATGCACAATCTGATGGATATTGCACACAAAAAAAAAGAGCTGGCTGAATTGGTCAGTTCAAACCTTACTAGTAGGTGTTATGCAACGCTAACTCAGAGCGTGCGAGATTTTACCAGTCGGATTATTCTTTTTTCCAGGTTAGTTGCATGAAATATGTGTCCTGCTCCATCATTCTCAATGTTTTGACCAAAAAATCCCAGATAGTGTTGATCTGGTACATATGGATTCATAACATACCAGATGTGGGCCGGATCTGGACCGACACTAAGGGGCCCTATTTTAACTATCTAATCACATGGTCTAAAGTGCACAGAGCACGTGCACATAGGGCATGTCCGAATCCACTTTTGCTAGTTTAACAACGGGAAAAATGGTCGGCGCACTCGGGGTATGGTCTAAAAGGGTTGTCCCTATTCTCTTAATGAGTAATGGTCGTGTTTTGGGCGTAACATGCATGTCATTTCCCATTTCTTTTAAAAGCCAGTTGTGCTTGCATCATGGCCGATTCACTATTTACATGGCGGAATTTGCAAGCGGAAAGACTGAACGCGTCTCCAGAGAGCAAACGGATCTGCTCGTGCGCGAGGTTAAAGTGTGCAAGTAGACCATTTACGGGACAAGCCGGATTCCGCCGTATCTTTATGTACACAATAATAATCTTTTACATTGTAATCCTTTTATTTTTAATATTTGGCATGTTTGTGTGCAGCTGCGCGTCCCTGTGTGTGTAATAAGAAGAGTGTGTGCGCGTTGTGGACCCGCCTATAGGCTCATATTACTATTGCGCCCTTTAAATAAATAAAAAAATGCAGTCTATTTCAGTTGCCTCAAAATAGCAACACGTCAACAATGCGCCTGAACACACCTCGCTTTCAGACCAGCAGCCCATAGCCGAATAGATGGGCGCAAATGCATTTGCTATTTTAAACAACATGGCACAGGACGTGAAAATGATAACTGCGTCGGGCTGAAACTAGCAAAAAAC